CCTTGTCCTGTCCCTGCAGTTCCTAACACAGATCCCTCTGCAGCTTCCCTGGAGCCCCTTCAGCTCCTGGAAGATGCTCTGAGGTCTGCACACAACCTTCTCTTCCCCAGGCTGAACAGCCCCTAGTTCCTCAGCCTGTCTCCATAGGGGAGATGCTCCAGTGCTCCTACCAATCCCAAGCCATGTACTTTGGGATGGCCCTGCTTGAGCAGGGAGGTTGGACCAAATGTGGTCCCTTCTAACCTAACCGACTCTGTGATTTTTAACCCTGTCAAATATTTAATGTGACTTTTAGAAAAGGTACACAGGGTGCTAGGTAGCGTGGGAGCTGGAGTGCTGTCCTCTTTACACCTCCTGTTTGCTTTGAAGATGGACGACCTCTCTACATCCTGCGTCTGGGCCAGATGGACACAAAGGGGTTGGTGAAAGCCCTGGGAGAAGAATCACTGCTGCGACACGTGAGTTGTACCTTCCTGGCTCACCTGAGGAATTCTGTGTCCCTCAGAGGGTTAAAAAGCCTTGCCATAGTGCAGCAGGAACCCCAGGATGGTTTGGGTTGGAAGGGACCTTAAAGCTCATCCCATCCCACCCCTGCCATGGGCAGGGACACCTCCCACCAGCCCAGTTTGCTCCAAGCCCCATCCAACCTGGCCTGGAACACTCCCAGGGATGGAGCAGCCACAGCTGCTCTGGGCAACCTGTGCCAGAGCCTCAGCACCTCACAGGGAACAATTCCTTCCCCATATCCCATCTATCCCTGCCCTCTGCTCTACTTTTGGGTTCTGTATTTCTAAAATAAGCTCTTCAGGCCACCCTGGTCCCTCAGCCACACTCAGGCTAATCCTTGTCTGTGCTGTCTTTGGTTCCAGGTTCTCTCCATTAACGAGGAAGGGCAGAAGAGATGTGAGGAAAACACCAATGTCTTTGGCCGCCCCATCACGTCAGTAGGAATAGTTTTCCTGAATCCTTAGAGTTTCACTGGCATGGTGTAGAATTCTGCTGTGAAGGTTTGGGGTGATGTCCTGAGGGTTAAAGTGCACACAGCAGTGTATGTTACAGGCTGTGTGGGGAACCACATATGTGTACCTGGAATGGCCTTGAGCTTAGCCAGGGCAGAGTCAGAAGAGATGGTAGGGAAATGTTTTCCCTGTGAGGGTGTTCAGGCACTGGAATATTGCCCAGGGAGGTGGTGCAGTCACCATCCCTGGAGGTGTTTCAGAGGTGTCTGGATCTGGCACTAGAGGATATGGTTTGGGGTTTAGGGGTTACAGCAGTGACAGGTTAAGGGTTGGACTCGATGCCCTTAGAGGTTTCCTCCAACCTTGATGACTTCAATGTAGACAAAGTCTACAGTTTCATATCAAGGCAAGTATTGGTCCTTCCTTCTATCCCATTTCAGATGACTTTACTGCAGTTGCCTTGGTGATTTGAATTGGTGTCATTGGAGTGCTGACAATTTCAGGCAGGAATGTCTCTGCTGGACTCCACCTTCAGTCAGGATGTGTTTCGTTTCAGCATTAGGCCTGCACACCTTCCCCCTCTGCCAGAATCACAGATCACGCTCTTGCTCTTGGCTCTGAGCGTCTGTTTCCCCTGGAAGCTCACCTAGATTCAGGTTCTGCTGCCTGAGTGGAGGAGCTGCTAGTCTCCCTTGGCTTCCCTAGATCCTGCCCGGCCTGTGGTGTTACTGTTGTGATCCTAACCTGAGCAGCCACCGACTGCTGAACTTCTGACAGCTCTTCTCCTGTGTGTTTGGTTTAGGTCCTGGACATGCCTGGTGGACTTGGAAGGGCTCAACATGAGGCACCTCTGGAGGCCTGGGGTGAAGGCTCTGCTGCGCATCATCGAGGTTGTGGAGGACAACTACCCTGAGACCCTGGGGAGGCTCCTGATCGTGAGAGCCCCGCGGGTGTTCCCCGTGCTCTGGACCTTGGTGGGTGACATCTGGGCTGCAGGATCACAAGCAAGATAGCTAAATCACCCAGAGCCAGGGAGGGAAAGGCTTCCAGGGAACTTGTGGCTGAACTCCTGACGAGGCCAGGGCAGAACCAAGCCGTGGTGTGCCTGTAGCCCACATGATCCTGGTGCCTGCTGACTGTCCTGGCAGCGTGAGGACAGCGGCACTGAGTGCCCTGTGAGGTTGAGATGTGGTGTGGAGACTGCAAGCTGAATTTATATGAAGTGGGAAATGTTGTGAGATGACAATATCCCCATTAGAGTCTATTTCCATTTGGAATCCCTTTCCCTGTGGGGAAGTGCTGCAGAGCTGCGGGTGAGACTCCCAGTGCAGAGCACCCTGTGGGAGGGCCTGAGCACCATCTCTTCCCTCCGTGTCAGCTGTGTCTTCCCTCCTCTTGTCTGCCAGGTCAGTCCCTTTATCAACGAGAACACGCGGCAGAAGTTCCTCATTTACAGTGGCAATAACTACCAGGGCTCGGGAGGGCTGGTGGACTATGTGGACAAAGATGTGATCCCAGACTTCCTGGGAGGAGACTGCATGGTGAGTTTTCCTTCCTCTCGTGCAGCTGGAATGGATTTCCTCCTCCTCACCACCTTTGCCTCCCGAAGGGTGGTTAAACCTCTGTGCTGCCCTGGGCGTGGGGCAGGTGACTTGGGCCCAGGAGAGCTCACCCTGCACAGCTCTCCCCATGAGACGCAGATAAACCGTGAGGCTCCAGTAAATCAGTCCCACTGGGCAGTCTCGCCCAGCCGAGGGTGTCTGACAGCCAGCAGAGCCTCCTGCTACGGGTGACTTGATCCTCCAGCTCTGGGTGGCCGCGGATCCTCAGCCCTGTTCCTCTGCCTCCCACAGTGCACAGTCCCCGAGGGTGGGCTGGTCCCCAAGGCTCTGTATCAGACCGAGGACGAGCCGGAGAACTCGGATCACATCCGGCTGTGGACAGAAACCATCTATCATTCAGCCACTGTGCTCAAGGGAGCCCCACACGAGGTACAGACCCCCCAGCCCTGGGCTGCAGCAGGACGTGCTCCGTGGGGGAGGCTCTGCAGGGTGAGCTGGGTGGCTCAGCTGCAGGGTGCTGCTCTGGAAAGGACAGGGAGCAGTGAAGTGTGGGAGCTCAGCACAGCAGCCAGAGAAGCAATATCTCTTGTCTCTACTATGGCCTGATCTCCTGTGAGACAAGGTCCCTTCCTCCTCCTGGGGAAAATAAATGTCCCTGAGTTTCCCTTCTGACGGTTCAGCCCAATTCCCAGCAGCACAGCCGAGATGGCAGTGAGGTGACACAAGGTATGTGCTGGGAATAGCCTGTGGGAGTCACCAGGAAACAGGACATCCCAACAAGGAGCACTTGAGTGCCAAAACACTCCTCTGGCCTCACTGATGAGGAGTGGCTCAGGCTTTTCTCCTCAGCATGTGCAAGGTGTCTGTGCCCCAGGCTGGGTGCAGGTTGAGCAGCAGGCCTTGTGGGACAGCCCCTTGCCATCTACTCACCTGGAGCTGAGCATGGCTGGGCATGCTCAGGAGGGCATCACCTCAAGAGGGTGATGCCATGGCTGGCTTAGTCCTCGAGACCAAGTTCATGGGTTGTTGCCTTTAATTTAAGGTTTTTTTAAAGGGGCAGGTAGAAGCAGAGAGTTATTTAGGTTGGAAAGGAGCTCTGAGACCAAATTAAATGATCACATATGCTGTGTCCTGCTTTGCCTTAGCTCCACTGAGATTTTCCTAGAGATTGTACCTGATGTACAGGCAACTCTGATATTGTTAGGAGCTGCAGGGACAGGACAAGGAGTAATGGGGAGAAACTGAAAGAGGGAAATTTATATGAGATCTCAGGCAGACGTTTTCCTGTGAGGGTGGTGAGACACTGGCCCAGGTTGCCCAGGGAGGCTGTGGCTACCCCAGCCCTGGCAGTGTTCACAGCCAGGTTGGCTGAGCCTTGAGCAACCTGCTCTGGTGGGAGGTGTCCCTGCCCAGGGCAGGGGTTGGGGCTGAGTGAGCTCTAAGCTTCATTCTAACCCTTTGACACACTATGGCACTATGGGGAGACATTGAGTGAAAGCACCTGAGCAGATCTGCTGTGGCAGGAGACTGGGAATGGGCCTCAGTGTGGATCCTCCTCAGGAATCCAGATCAATAGCTAACTGAAGGATTCCAGAGCAGGGAGGAACATGCTGCTGCCACCTGAGCACCTGACTCTGCCATGGGCCGATCTGTTCCCTTCTCAGATAGTCGTGGAGATTCTGGAAGGGGAATCAGTCATCACATGGGACTTTGACATCCTGAAGGGAGATGTGGTGTTCAGCCTCTTTCACTCCAAACGAGCCCCTGAGACAAGGCCCAGAGAAGCCACACTGCCAAGCAGCTCTGCAGCAGGAGACAACATGCAGCTCATCGACAGGACGTGGGTCCTCGGTGTCGACTACAGCCGCGTGGAG